ATTAAGACACAGGTTATTTCCATGACTGCTTTTATGTTTACCTGTGACTATAACAATTTACAATGCTTACTTAGTCAAGTAACCATAATCAGAGGGGTTATTCCTTCATGGATTCTAGTGAATTTTATCCTTTTAAGTCTTTTGAAACATAGGGCTGAGTTCAGAACTTAAAAAAGAAGGAATAATCTTTGACCTCTAGTGCTATAGCATTTACTTTCAGTAAACTTTTAGTTCTTACTTTTGTTTGGTGTTATTGCTGGTGCTTTCATTCAAGCTACTGTCACAGTGAGGCATTAATTTTTCCATATGTATAGAGGAGGAAATTAAGCCTTAGATAAATTAACAATGTACTCATGGTCACAATTGGGATTCTAATCTAGGTCTTGACTCAAAGTCATGAATGCTCTGAGTTCTTTGTAAATTATAAAGCATTGTATCTCTGTGTGGGTGGGAGAGAGAAAGGCTTGTAAGAATTACTTGGGAGCTTTTTCAAAATACTTAGCCCCATTTCACCTCCTGCTCCCAAATAATGCATTATTATACAACTGTTGGTTTATTAAATATCTGTTTCCTAAATGTGATAGTGTGTAACTCAGTTTAATATACACTTGAAGACTGCTTATATTAACTTGCTGACCGGTAACGAGATAACTTGTGTCTGCTTTTAGGGTCTGAAAGCAATGTAGAGTTTTAAAAGAGCTCTCAGACTATATTATCCATCTTACAACCTTTTCTTGGCTCTTCTAAGGGAAAGTGTAGTGAAACACAATATGTATGTAAAACTTGTTTAGTACCATTGCATATAGATACATGTTATACAATACATCACACTCAAAAAATAAAAATAAAAAATAAATAAAATATTTAAAAATATTAAAATATATGCAATATGTTTAATTTTGACATATAATAATATAAATATAAGATATGACAAAATAAAGTAAATTTAAGTTTGTTCAGGTGCTTTCATTTAAATACTCAAGTGTGGAAAAGTAGCCAGCTCCATGGGCGAGTTCTGTCTTGAAATAGCTGGCCAGCAAGGTGTTTTCAAAGGAATTCCAGCCCGGTCGGCGTAGCTCAGCGGTTGAGCACATTGACCTATGTATGATCCAGGAGATCATGGTTCCATTCCTGGTCACAGCACATGCCTGGGTTGCTGGCTCGTTCCCCAGTAGGGGGCGTGCAGGAGGCAGCTGATCAGTGACTCTCTCATCATTAATGTTTCTACCTCTCTCCCTCTCCCTTCCTTTCTCTGAAATCAATAAAGACATTTAAAAAAAAAATGTTTTTAAAAAAGAACTCCATATTTTGTTGTTGATGGGATATAATCCATTAGCTTCTATTAGAGCATACCCATCAATGAATGACTAGTTTTACTACTCATATTCTGATTGTGTCATTGAACATAAACTTTCTTGAATGTTGATATTTGAAGGATTTGGAGAAAAAGCTACTAGATGCTGTTGACATCAACTGAAACCATATAAATTGTGGATGTAATTGAATGAGTTAATGTAAGTGTTCAACTGTAGTTGGCTCTGGAGATGTGAGCTTATAATTTGGAGGACACTTTGAGATTTTCCTGACTTCATGGTGAACCTTAGCATTCTCTTGTGAGATTTCCATGTTGCTGGTCATTTGCCTGTGCAGGAAGAAGGAGATTGTCATATGTATGTTCTTTTAGTTGACCAGTCTGGGGTTCAGGACACCATTTAGGAGCAACGATGTAGATTAAAGTGAAGAAAATGGAAACTAAGGCGCTGAAGTTAGAGTATATTAGAAAGATATTTAGGAACTAGAGTTGGTAGTGAATGGTAACTAATTGGGGGTCCTAAAGTTGTTGATATTTGGGAGACTAAATATATAAGATCCTTCCCCCTTGCCTGAATTGTGAATTGACTGGGATATAATAAGAGCCAACAGATGAAAAATGAAATAGTACTCTCTGTAAAATTGGTTTTTTATTGAGATAAAAATTCACATATTATAAAGTTCACCACTTTAAACTGTACAGTTTGGTGATTTTATGCTAAAAGTTTTTATTTGCAATGTTGTGCAGCTGTTACCACTGTCTAATTCCAGAACAGTTTCATTACCCCAAAAGAAACCTATTAGCACCCCCCCCCCCATGTCTCCCTTCCCTCATCGCTTGGCAACCACTAATCTACTTTCCATCTCTAGGATTTGCCTATTCTGAATATTTTGCATAAATGGAATCATATAATATGTGGCTTTTTATGTATGACTTCTTTCACTTAGCATAAGGCTCTCAAGGGTCATCAGTGTTGTAGCATGTAACAGTACTTCATTCCTTTTTATAGCTGAATAATCCACAGTTTGTTTACAATTTGTTTACAATTTGTTTATCCATTTATGAATTGATGGATATTTGGTTTATTTTCACTCTTTGACTATTATGAATAATGGTGTTATGAACATTGTGTGCAAGTTCTTTTTGAACATATGTTTAAATTCTCTTGGGGACACACACACACAGGTATATATGTATTCCCTAGAGAATTATACACACACATGCATATATATGTGTGTGTGTGTATGTGTGTATATATATACACATACATGTGCCTAGGAATAGAATTGCTGGGTCATATGGTAACTTTCGGAGGAATTACCATTGTTTCTGATAAGGGTGATATAGAATATTGTAGAATGTGGTTTAGGTTTAAAAGCCAAATAGGCTAACTCTCCACATTTTCTCGTTCCCACCCAACAGAACCCAATCTAGTTCATGGGACAGTCCACTTAATGTCTAGATTGTTAGGTTCAACAGAGCAGACACACCCAGATTGCTACCTTATAAGAGTCCTGGATGTAGAGTTCTGGAGTTATTTCTACCGACTAACCAAGTTACTTACCTCTTTGGTGAGTGGTGGGCTAAGAGCCCAGGAGTGTTTAGAGAAGCCATTCCTCATAGAAATCAAGAGTTGGAAAGAAGTGTGCTAGTCTTAACAAAGGAAATGAAAGGAGTTAGGCTAGAAACCTGAAAGCCATTTTATCAAGTAAGGAAATAGATTAAAGAAAGATAATTTAGTTTTGGACATAGTAAATTTGGGATTCATAAGAGGGAATGCTAGATATTTATGTTTGGAGATCAGGGGATTGATAACTGCCAGAGATACAGATTGGAGGTTCATCTCCATAAAGGCAATCGAAATACAAGAGCGAATGAATCACCTGTAAAGTAAAACAGTAGAGAAAAGTATCTAGTAATTCTCATATCTGAAGCCTTTGAGATTTTGATTCTTCCAACTGATGTTTGCCTTTTTGCCATTTTTGATTGTGAATTTATTAATTTTGGAACCTTATCTGTGGGAATTCTTCCACGCTGAGATCAAAAGCAGATTCCTCAGAGAGGATTTGCATTTGCTTGTGTCAAGATTGGGTGGGGGACACTACCAATCTAGAACTACCCTAACCAAAATTCTAAATATAAAGCTTTTTAAACCCTAATCCAGGTTAGGGTCAGTTTATTGTTGTGACTATTAGGGGAGATACTGTTGTACACTATCATGGCCCCCCATCCATTCACCAGTACTGAGTGACAAGAGTAAGATGCAATTTTCCTTGCACTTCTCTTGGGTAACACCTGGACTTTGCCTCTGTACCCTGGGCCCCTATAGGTTTTGGAATTGCAAGCTGATATTCATAGGGTTTGGCCAAATGCCCTGAAGGTGAAAGAAAGCTTGTTTCTTTTCTTCTGCATTTTTTTCTAATTTCCCCTTTTTACTTAGTTTTTGGTCTTGATCATGCCTTATTTTCTTTAATGCTATTATAAAGATTTAAAAATATTTTATCCAGTGTTTGTTATTTTCAGTGGCATGTTGATCAAACTATCTATTCTATAATTCTGGCAGAAATAGAAATGTCTGTCTCTCTTCAGGACATGCAGGGACAATTGGATGCAGGGAATTCAGTAAGCCTTTAAATCAAAGGTTATAAACTTGGTACAAAATCCAATGTTTTGTTTGGCCCAGATAGCATTTAGAAAATAAAAATCAGGAGATTTAAAATAAAAATTTGGATATCTTGTTTCTGTTGAAAAAATCAGAAGATCTTACTATACTGGGCTTTCAATCCTGTTTAGCAACAGTTGGCTAGAACTGGGGATAGCAGCTGATTTCTTCAGAGTGAACATGGTTTATTTAGTTGCTCACAATCTTCACCACTTGAGTAAAATATGCTTATGTGTACACATACCTTTTCTACCTTTTATCATTCATTTTACCTGTAGACATTTGTGGATCATCCTTGTGCCAGGTAGTAGTGCTAATAGACAATTTCATATTTGTTCATTGATTTATTTAATTCTTACATCAAACCTGCAGTTTATTCCTGATGAATAAATAAAGTTATATAGGTGGCATTATCGCCAAGTTACAGATGAAGAAACAGTGAGGTTTTATATAAATTCTTCAAGGTCTTATAGTGTCATAGCTAGAATTTGACCCTAGAACTATCTTATTCAAAACTCCTTCTGTTTCAGTGCTATTTTTTTTTTTAAAGCAATATAATTGTTTCAGATGAAGTCTTAGTGAAGTCCAGGATATAAAGCCAATAAGGATGGCACAGTGTAGATTGAAGAGTAGATTGGGTGGGGGGACAATTATGTGGGAATGAGATCCTGCATGCTCAACTCTTTGGTGGCCTTTAGGCATCTCTTGGAATCCTTAGGATTCTACTAAACAGTTTGGACACTCTCTGTATAACATAAGCCTAACAGTTTGTTAAAATTTATGAGTTTTCAGCTCCTTTGCATTAGTTACAGTTATAGTATGCCTGTTTCTCCTATGCTGTATGTCTGTCTTCCTTAGTGCAATTCCTCTTATTGCATTTTTGATTCATGTGGGTATGTGTTCAGAAAATGTGAATCTTTTAGCCTTCTACTTATTTTTTCAGAGTGTTTTAATTAGAATTGTAACATGATTTATAGTTTCATTTACTTTGGAGCATCTGGTAAATAACTCTTCTTTATTTTTCAGATTCTCTTTGTGGCCAGATGGGTTTGTATGGACAGGCTTGTCCATCTGTAACTTCATTAAGGTGAGTGCTCCTCTTTTTTTTATTGGAACATGTAACATTTAAAAAGTTATGTTAGTCAAGTCACATTAGAGTGAATTTCATAGTGAGGTTCAGAATAAACTATTGCAGTTTGTTTTGTCAAATAGTGCAATTTGGTGGGGTTGGGAGATATTTTTGCTTACAGAGATAGTTATGGTAATGAGATTTGGATCTTTTCTTAATCTCTACTTGGTGAGTTTACATATATTCTTGTACATGAAATAACATAATTTTATACTTCTTTGTCATTTCTTTTTTTAAAAAACAAATCTTCTCTTTACTTGTTTTAATTAGAAAATACATAGTAAATATTGATTGCCTTTGTAGTAGATTATTAGATATGATTAGATGCTAATTTTAATTTTAACTTCTTTCTAAAGGGCGATGTAAACATGATACCTAGGTTACCCTCATTTATAATAAATAAAGAAAATGTAAAATATACCTTAGGAACTAAGTTATATGCAATCCAGTAGCTGTAGACTTTTTCGAAGTTGCTAAATCCTTTACAAATTAAATTTTATGTGAAATCCAGTGAATAAAATAGATAAATGTGGGACTTTTCTGCTTGCTTAGGCTTCCATTTTCTACCTTCACACTTATCTGTGAGAGATTGTTGCAGTTCCCAGAGCACAGTTTAATAAATAACCTAAATCTAGTTTGTTCATTGAAATCTTTCAGACTATAACATGAAGTGTTGATGGCACCTACCAGTTACATGTGGTGTTGCAGGTAGCTGTATCATTTATTCACTCAGCGTATTGAGCACTTAATATGTTGTCAGACACTATTCGAAATGCTGGGGCTACCGCAGTGAATATAGCAGATAAAAATCCTATAACTATGGAGCTTACATTCCAGTGAAAGGACAAATAATGAACAAGATAAATAAGAAGTATCTGTTAGTGACTAAGGAAGGGCCAAGGTGAAAAATAAAATAGAGAGGGGGAATAGGAAATATAGGTTTGTTTTTTTGTTGTGTGTGTTTTTTTTTTAAGGTAGGGTAGCCACTGAAAAGGTGACATTTAAATAAAGACCTGAAAGAGTGATGGAACGAGCCATATCTTAGATATGTGAAAGATGTGCATTCTAGGTAGAGGTAATCCAGGAAGTGCCAAGGCGGGGGATTTACTTGTCTTGTATGTTGGAGGAACAATGAGGTCAGTGTGGCTGGAACAGAGTGATGAAAAGAGTTGGAATTGCCTGGCATTGAGGTCAGAAGGAGAGAGAGGAGAGATACAAAATTGTTACAGGCATGAATGTGAAGCCAAGGAATCTTTTTTTCTTTTTTTAAATATATCTTTATTGATTTTAGATAGAGGAAGGGAGAGGGAGAGAGAGAGATAGAAGCATCAATGATGAGAGAGTTGTCGTTGATCGACTGCTTTCTGCAGGCCCCGACTGGGGATCGAGCCTGCAGCCCGGGCATGTGTCCTGACCGGGAATCAAACTGCAACCTCGTGGATCCTAGATCGATGCTCAGCTGCTGAGCCACTCCTGGCTGGGCATGGCTGGCTATTCTTTTTCCTCAGCATAAAACTTTACTCCATGCCCCTGAGCCGGCATGGTTCGATTCTCGGTTGGGGCACATGCCCGGGTTTTGGGCTCAGTCCCTGGTGGGGGATGTGCAGGAGGCATCTGATTAATGACTCTCATCATTGATGTTTCTCTCTCTCTCCTCTCCATTCCTCTCTCTGAAATCAATAAAGATATATTAAAAAAAATATTTTTTTTTTAAAGGGAAGATATACAATGGAATATTACTCAACCATAAAAAAAGAACAAAAATTTTGCCATTTGTGACAGCATGGATGGTATTGTGCTAAGTGAAATAAGTCAGTCAGAGAAAGACAAATACCATATGATTTCACTTATGTGTGAAATCTAAAGAACAATGTAAATGAAAAAACAAAGCAGAAACAAACTTATAGATACAGAGAACAGACTGATGGTTGCCAGAGAGGAGGGGTTGGGGGACTGGGTGATAAAGGTGAAAGGATTGAGAAGTAAGATTGGTAGTTACAAAATTGTCTGGGGATGTAAAGTACAGCATAGGAAGTATAGTCAATAATACTGTAATAAGTATGTATTGTACCAGTTGGGTACTGGAAATATTGGGGGGAACATTTTGTAAAGTATATGGTTATCTAACCGATATGCTCTACATCTGAAACGAATACAAAATAATATTGAATGTAAACTGTAATTGAAAAAAATAAAAAAAAATAAAAATGAGATTAAAGACTCTTGGCACAGAGCCTGACACACATTTAAAAAAAAAAAAAAAGGTAATATATGTTTCTTGTAGATAATTTGGAAACAGATACCTCTTGTTAATATCTTCATATCATGTAATTTTTACTAGTAGATCCTATGTATGAATTAGAAAAAGGCCCACTAAATTTCTTTCAGAAGAATGATTGCAAAAGATTTATTTTATTTTATTAAAAAATTTTTTTTTTTTTTGAGAGAGAGAGGAAGGGAGAGGGATGGAGAGTTAGAAACATCAGTGAAAGCGAAAACTGCACTCCCCCTACTGGGGATCGAGCCCGGAACTTGGGCATGCACCCTGACTGGGAATGGAACTGTGACCTCTTGGTTCCTAGGGCGACACTCAACCACTGAGCCACACCGGCCAGGCTGAAGATTTTGTACCAATAGCTAAGTATACTCTTTAATTTTAACCAAATTGCTGTGCCCAGAGGGGGCACTAGTGATGGACTGCAAGCCCGGAAAAGGAGAGAGATACTTGTGCCTTCTTGTCTATTCTCTGGACTTCATAAGAACAACTTGTAAAGTAACAATCATATATTAAAGTATTAACTCCAGCAAAGGCTTCTCATTCCTACAGCAGAGCCTTATAGGAACCAATGGCAAATCATAGACATGTGTACAGAGTCCCAGTTCCAGCATCATTAAAGCAGATTGGGAAGAAGGGATGGGGGTTTGGAGCTGAGGGGCAATAACTTAATAACTTGTTCCAGCAAACTACTAAGAAATATGGTATAAAAATATATTTTCTCAGATCAATTTTGCTGCCAGTGTTTATGTAGAATACTTGCATGTTGTTAAAAAACCCCTAATTTTATAAATCGTGAAATTATATTAAAAATTTATGTAGGATTCACAAGCATGTCTTGCAAACTGAATCTACTATATTCATATCCTAAGTGTGAATAAAGTCTGGATGGTGAATACTGGGTCATCTATATCCATTTCCTGAGTTTTGGAGAGCAAGAGTGAGAGTTCAGATAATGATGGATACAGTTTGTATCAAACAATAGGATCTTAAAGAATTTAGCAGAATCTGTTTGGTTCTTGAGTTTGCTTACAATGGGTTTGAATCCTGAGGTATACCTGTATTTTATTTCCAAGTTGAGATTCAGTAAGAGCAAAAGCTTATTAAAAAAACAAAAGCTTTCCTTGAACATTTGCTTTATTTAGACAAGTAAACACATATATGTATATAACATACTTCTTTCACATCGTGTAGCAGTAGACTATTTTTTATAATTTGGTTTGATCAAAGCAAAATAAAATTTGATTTTATTTGGACTTGTTAAAATGGGGCCATTTTTGCATTTCTAAATCAGCAAACATGCATGTATTAGAGGATTTATTTTATTGTTCATATGTATATACAGCCTGGGGTACTGGGTTTTCAGTAGCATTTTAAGTAGTTTTTGGTGACATACACTACATTCTACATGAGATCTCTTCCTTTTGTTATCTGTTTCTGTTTTCACCCCTTTTTTGCACTCATTTTTTCTTTTTTTGTTATGCTTCTTCCTTAAAGACGGCTTTTATTACTGATCCAGTGTATCTGTTTAGGATATGGGAGAGAACATAGGGATATTTTAGCACCAGAGAAGCTCATGTGTTAATGTCCCAGATGAATTTCCTGTTCATCTGTTTCCTCATTTTCCTCCTGTTGATATTGATGACCCTGCTATTTAGAACCACCAGAGGAGGGTAGATTTATTTTAAGGCGTCTTGCTGTCTTGTTTCTAGTAGCAGGCTTGCTATTGGTAAGGCAGCTCTGGTATATAGCCTTAGAATCAGGTAGATACAGGTTCATATCTCTGCCACATATTACCCATATGATCTTGGACAAGTTACTCCACTTTTACTAATTTTGCTGTAATAGGATTGTTAAATCTTACCTCACTGGTCTGTTAGGATTCATGGGGATTAAATACATAAGGAAAGCATCTAGCATATTTTTTCTCTTCCATTTTCCAATAGTAGAAAGCAAAAAGAATATCATTTTTATAATAAAAGAGGACAGATTTTGTGTCCTTTGCTCTCAACTCAAGAACATGGGGCAGAAGAGGATTTCTTTTCCCCCTTTTTCTATTTTTCTTTTACCCTAAATTCTTAGATTCTAGAGTATGTATCAGTAGTGTCCAGGTTTGTAACTGGCCTTTAGGCTAAGGATGTTGCTGACATTTAATATTATATATTTATTTTTATAATATAATTTTATGCTTTTAGGTCTGCCCCACACAGTGGCAGAAATAACTTTTGCATTATTGCCATAGTCTATCATTATCAAACTTTTTTGGAATTGATAAAATCTATTAATTGTCATACTTAGTTATGGCATGTTCCAGTTAAACGAAGGGTAATGAGAAGCCTTCTTAATTTTGACTATTAGAGAAACTTTTTCTAAAATGTATTTTGAACTTTTCTGGCTTATCTTCTAAAGCTTTACTGTCTAATATGGTAGCCACTAGCATCATGTGGCCATTTAAATTAATTAAAAATGAATAAAATTTTTAATCAGCTCCTCAGTCACACTAGCCACATTTTTTTTTTTTTTAAATATATCTTTATTGATTTCAGAAGAGGAAAGGAGAGGGGGAGAGAGAGGTAGAAACATCAATGATGAGCGAGTCATTGATCGAGCCCGCAACTCGGGCATGTGCCCTGACCGGGAATTGAACCCTGATTGCCTGGACTCCAGGTTGACACTCAACTGC